CGGGGTAAGGTTTTGGGCCTTATATAGGGGTGGGGTGGATTGACATTGTCCGTTGGATTAGGCAGGATAGACGGCTAAGATATATTCACTTAACCAAACGATGTCGTTTAGTTTAAGTTAGGGGGACGGGTTGAACCGGGTATTAGATCGGGTAAGGGTCTGGGTTAAGGTTCGTGGGATCTCAGCCGTTGGTTGGCTTTGATCCAACGGTCCCTGATAAACTACAATCAAACGATGTCGTTTTGACTCGTTTGAATTGGACCGGTGCCTGGGTTGCCTGAATTGGGCTGAAGGGGGAGTAATTTGGTTTTGGGCCTGGATTTTAATCCAGGTCCGATATATTTTACAACTTATTTTATTTTATTTTATTTTATTATTTATCATTAAAAATCCTAATAAAAATTATAAAACAATTTTTATCCTTACACAAAAATATTAATTATTTTATAACAACTATTAACACATAGTCAAAACATTAATCACACAGTAACATATTTAAAAATAGAACGAATGCATATTTTTTGTGATTTTATTTAAATTATCTTTCAAATACATAATTAAATCCTATATGCATGCAACATGTATTTTATTTTAATTTTTATTTTATTATGACAAAGTAAACATTTACGGACATAACACAAATATTTAACACCACGCAAAATTCAAAAATTACACAGTAAAAGAAATTTACTTTATTTTTTGATTTATTTTGGAGTAGTTTTCGTAAGGCAAAAATCACGTGCTCACAGCTGCCCCTCATGGCTGTTTCAATGTAACACATTTTTTTACAAAAATATTCAAAAAAATCATATGAAATGAAAAAAAAAAGGACCAAATTTAATGCTCGATTGTTCTATGAGCGTACATCTTACCTTTTAGATTAAAGAACTAGCCTTTTGTTGATGGATTTATCTTCTCTTTTAAGTATTTATTAGTCGGATAACAAAAAGGAAATCAGGATGGTAAGTTCAAAAATCAAAGTTCAAGAAAATATGGTAGGAGTAAAATATTTTGAATGTCCCAAAAAAAACTAGAAATATGTGCAAAAGTTCCAAAAAAAGACTAGAAATATGCACAGAAAATTTCCGTGGCTAATAAGTGATACTTTATATGCTATTAATCTCATAAATTTCACACACAAAGAATATACTTTAATTGATCTATATTAACTTAAATTGTATAGTTAACATTTGTACAGATAATTCGTCGGACACCTATGCTCTCAAAAGTTCTCTTTTTAAACGTAAATTTCTTCTCATCATGCAAATTTTAAGAATTTTGTTTCCTATAAAGTAGTAATAGTAGTAGTAGTATGAAATGTCATAACCAATAATTGAAGCTAAATCATCTAACTTTAGTATATGCATCTCTATAATCTTATAAAAATAACATTAAACTCCTTTGAATAAACAATTTTCCTGAGTAAAATAGAGTTGAATTTGATGTAAAACCGAAAAACAATAGTCCTCCTCTTCTACAATGTTATTTTCCTTATTTAACATATAAATAATTTTAATTAAGTTATATCCGCTTCCCTTAAAAATAAATGTCATCTTAGCTAAATATATTTGGCCAAAATAAATGTTGTTTTGGGAAATTAAAATAACATTAGTCTGTTTTTTCAAATCTATTTTCGATCTAATAAATTACCTACAGAATATAATGAGTAATTTGACTATGATATAAAGCATAAGTTAATCAAACAAATTGTATAATAAATGTTTTATATGATTTCCTTAATAAGCATACAAAAAATTTAAAAGATAACTATTTTAGATATGAAGTAAGTTGGGACCAATAAAATTATAATTTTTTAATGACTTTAGGTGTTTTAAGAATAACTTTAGTATCCCTTGGAGATGAACTCGATCTAACTCTACCATACACATCTTTACGGCACTAATATTTAGATAATAGTATTATTGGGCTCATGCACAGCATGGGCTATCGCTTACTTGTACTCGACACAATTTCCATTGATCTACTTCCTTCATTGGATGCAATATTTCGAACATTGGTATATGCTTAGTTTAATCACCATTCAAATGCTATTTTTTACAAAACAGGAAACCAGAAAGGAATATTATCATAGCAAAAATAGCGCCTTCGTTATACCAAATTGTACAAGACCTAATATGCTTTCTGCCGCTGATTGTAAAAATTCCCGAACGGGAAAAGCAAGGAAAAACAGAGAAAAACAAGAAGATAAAATTTGATTTTCCATTCAACATAGCCGGAAATGGACGAGTACAAGGAATATAAATATAGGCAGAATCAACTTCATAACAAACTAGACACGTGGCTGATATTTACGCTTCTACCTTCTCAACAACAAATAACTAAGGACTCAATTTGACAATAAGTAAACTGATGACCTAAGAATTGTAATTAATTAGACCTCAAATACTAAACTCTAAAGACAAGTATTTATCTTCAAAACCAAAATATGTCTCCACCTTTACACTGATCTTATAAACAATTTTTCACTAGGATTCTCTTTACGTCCCGATACTTTAGGGACATACTACAGGATTATCACTTCATCCAAGCAGGATTCTTCGAGAACCTGGTACTACCTAGCTCAATTAGCGCTTGGCCAAAAAAGAAATGAAATCAGAGCAAGACTGCTGCCTTGACATCAATACCTGCCGACAATATTGTTTACTTAGTTAAACTGAGAAGCGATAACTAGTATGTGACCTCGTTGACAACATAGACTTCAGAAGAAGCAAAGAAACACCAGCAAGTTTAAAGCACTTCTTTTAAAAACAAAATATGATAAATCCCACCCAGAAAGCCCTCCGCTCAGGATATTAGGTCCTTTTCCACTTTATCCCATGAGTGACTCAAACTCCAACCTCTTGGATGAAAGTAAGTGCTCTAACCATTAGAGCAACCTCACTCAATAACATAGAAACACATAAAGTTCATCTGATTTGCATGCTCCAAAGTCTTCTTCTGTTCATCTAAAACACACACACATATTATTTAAGATCTGTGTGGTTTGAATTAAAAACAGGATCTTTGTTGCATAGTGAGCCATGACAAATATATTTGGTCTACTTGGGCGGAGTGGGTTATGACACGCTTCTCAGCCCTTTCTAAACCAAACCATCTTGACCCAAGCAAACTTTGGGTGGCGTGAACTTTAACCCAACCTGCTTATTTGACACCTCTAATTAAAGTAAAAGATCAGAGTTTCACTCTTGTTACAATGGTAACTCAACCATGTCGTTTTTATCATTTTGAGCTTTATTTACTACTCCTCAATTCTTATTATTTTCCCAGTCTAACTAGGATCAGCCATAACTGAAAGAGCGTGAAAAAAAAGAGGCCTAATAGTTGTGGCATACCTCATCCATCGCATCAGAAACTAATGGCTGGGAACATAATAAACCCCCGAGTATTAAATTGGTAGTGGCTCTCTTTTAAGTACTCCTCCCATTTCCATCCTCCAAGATTGATCTACCAAAGATGCTAACTCTCTGTAGATCACCATCAATGCAGCTATTAGAGAAGAACCAAATTTTCAAGTATAATAGGAACATCAGATACAAATATATCATTTTAACTGCCAGCTAATGTGTGGTAAAAATACTCAAGAACCACGATGAATTGCAAGAAAAAAAGGAGTGTCAGAAACAAAATGATGATATATTGTCTTCCAATTAAATACGCTTGTGTGAATATGTTCAAGCTGAGAGTTGAATGCAATTCTACCTCACCTATGAAAAATAGTGGCCACTGCTAGTTTTTGTATCCTTCAAGGAGAGCAGTAAAAAATATAGCAGGCCAACTAGTTATGGATTGAGGCCCAATAGATTGATTGATCTTTAACTCGGAAATTGTTGATTGTGCTAAATGTAAAAGCATGTCCTTATATTGTCTTACCCTTCTATTTCAAATTGATTGTATCGGTTTTCCTTTTTATCTTTGATAAGATTTCATCTCTTATTGCAAACAATTAAAAATTTGATACACTGCTTTCAACATCTGAAGAATTGATCTGTTTGGCTGCTTGACATACAAACAAATTCTTATATGAACTCTAAAATATGTTATCAATAAAATATAAAGTCAGTGATTATATATAAAAATGCTAGAAGGAAACAAGATATGCAATTTGAAATGAAGAGAGTAAAAATTATGTGAAAATTTCAAACAAAGACAGATGGAAACTACTTCAAACAAAGACAGATGGAAAATTGTCCCTGCAACTATTTGGTGGACAGTTTGGAAGGAGAGGAATTCAAGATGCTTTGAGGATACAATTAGCCCTACTCAGAAAATTAAAATGAATTGTATTCTTCTCTTTTGTTTTTGGTGTAAAGCAGAATTTATTGATTATTTAGAGTCAATTCTACAACTCCTAGACTCCTTGTAAAAAGAGCAAGGATTATAATTTTGAGCCTTGTAGGTTCTTGTAAACTTTATTATTAGCTCCCAGCACAAGCTTTGAGCTGAAGATTTATTAATATACAGATGCACCGATGAGGAGGTGTGAGAGGCTGGCATTGGAGGGCCAACGGAGAGATAAAGGTAGGCCGAAGAAGTATTGGGGAGAGGTGATTAGGCAAGACATGGCGTTGCTCCAGCTTACTGAGGATATTATCATGGATAGGAAGGCATGGAGGTTGAGAATAAAGGTAAAGGGTTAGGTAGTCGGGTGTTCCCTGGTTTGTAACAGTAGTTTTGATACACCACTTAGTGTCTTTCGTGTATTTTCGTATCCCTAGACTTCTATTATTACTTGTCGCTGCCTTGTTTCGGTTTCTTGATTGTATTACCTAGTGTTAGTTTTGTATTTTCACTTCGATTGTCTAATTGATTTGCTTATTATTGCCCCTTCCCCTTATCCTTCCTGAGCCGAGGGTCTACCGGAAACAGCCTTTCTGCCTCCTTAAAGGCAGGGTAGTTAAGATCTGCGTACACTCTACTCTCCACAGACCCCATTTGTGGGACTATACTGGGTATGTTGTTGTTGTTAATGGTAACATCGAGTGAACCTAGACCTCTAGCATGGTGATTCATTTCCAATAAAATAACATATGTAAACAAAAATATCAAATGGACCAAATCAAGAACTTACTTGAGGTCATGGCTGACAACAAGTAAAGTTAGCTCCTTCTTTAGATGCTTTAACAATTTCGCCACATCTGCACGAGCCTTCCAATCTGATTTCCCTCATAAAATATAAACTTTTTCAGACACCGGGGTTAGCCACTCAAATATAATTCAAAGTTGGGACCAAAAATACGAAAATAAGGTATCCATTTAATAACTTCCAAGGTCTACAGTAATTAAAACAGAACTTATTTATAGTTAAAAGCAAGTAATTCATTAAGCAAAAACAGGACGACGCTAGCAAATCACATCAAACGAAAGAGATCCGTACAATTAAGTTTTCCAATCTCTATGGAAATAACGTCACTCCATAAAACAATCCTCCCACTCTGCACCACAAGCAAGCTTCATACCATTTTATCCAACATGCAACCCGAACTGAGGTACGATCGAATCTCGCAAGCTCTTGAACTCCGCTTGCACCACCCATACCAAATAATTACAAATACAATAGATTTCCAGATTACCTCTTGTAAACATATTAGCAGCAAATATGAGAGCTGGTATGCGGATAGTAGCAAGAGTGTTTAAAATAAGCAATCTTTCTTTAAATCGATGTTACCATTTGGAGAATAAGAACACATAACCCAACAAGGAATTCTAAGCTTCTACTTAAGAAAAAAAAATGCTTTTCAGTGAAGCCGAAGAAGAGCTCCTCTAAAACAAATGTAGAGATACCACCTGGTTGCCATTAGTTTTTGGAGAATTAGAGAATGCAACCTAAAATAGAACCTTAATGTTCTATGGCAGAAAGATTCAAAATAATTTCTAAGTTCTTCATAAAGTAAAAGCAAGTAACATATCCATGATTCTTTTTGTTTTTTAGATTACTAAAGCTAATTACTCATCCTATTTTTACTTGTTTATCATTATTAAATTTCAAGTATATAGGACTTGTGACTAGTAAGAGTTTATAATCTTGATGCTTTAGACAATTTTTAACAACCATAGTGGGGAGAAAGATTGTTCTTCAAAATTATCCAATGTAAAATCCTTGTGCAGGCATCTCAATTCCTACTGTATCCTTTAAAATTTGACCTAGAAATCTCACCTAGTCCTGTTCTGTTAAACTAGCACTTTTGTTACCCAAGAAAATCACAAATGAATAATATCCAGTTAGAGAAAGACATAAAATTGGGGTGG